TTTCTCTGGCACCACAGCAGAGAATGTTCCATGGTTTCAGCTGCTTGAGAGCCCAGAGATCAGCAGCTAACAGAGGAGGGGCCTGAGCTCTCCAGACAGTGCCAGACTCTAGGCAGGAAGCAGACTAGGGGGAGCTTTCCATTTCCCTTGGGGTTCCCTGCAGCCTTGGGTCCCTTCTTTCTACACCCACACACACCTTTCCCTGGCAGGCCCGAGGGAAACCATCTGACCATGACTGTGGCATGTTTCTAGTTCTGGGTCCTCTCAATCTATAAAACAGGAGCTCATGGGGCTAGGGGGGCATGAGGAAGGATGTTCACCGAGGTAATCAACTTCCCTGGGGACAAATCATACCCAGGCCTGGGCCAAATCCAACCCGCCAGGATGAAGCTGAGTCTACAGAATTGGACACAGCAGTTGTCCTCGACCCCAGCCAACCCACCTTGACCCAGCCTACCAGAACCCCCTTCACACCAGCATCCAGACATTGGCTAGTGGTCAACAGAATGGTCAGGGACAGCGGTCAAGTGTCTTGACCCATGTTTTAGCTGTCTACAGATGACATTTCTTTTTGCCACCACATCCCCAGTGCGCATCACACACTGAGCATGTAGAGAGCAAGAAGAATTTGTCCAAGGAAGTGAAGGAGTGAGCAAGTGAAAGGTTACCCCAAGGTTGTGCAGCTCTTCTATGAACCATCAGATCTGAACCAGGAAACCTGCCCCGCAAGCTAGCCAGTTCCCGGGACCATCCCAGCTGCTGAGAGGGTGGTACCTGCCCAGCTGAGCCTCCCCTGTGTTGCTGCTGCCACCTAGAGGGAGACCCAGGAATGTCCCAAATACACTTGCCAAATCCTGCCTGGACTAGCCACAGATAGCCGGGAGAGTGACTGGAGGTGCCACATGGCTGATTGCTGCAAGGAAGTGGACTGAAGGGCCCTGTGAAGGGCAGGTCTACGACTGGGCTCCAGATAGACAGCTGTGAATATCCAGCGGTACCGGCTCACTTTCCTACCGCTGTGGAAAGAGACTCACAAAGTCAAGGTTCAACAGGGTGATGCTCCTTCTGGGAACTTACTGCCTTTCCCTGCCCAGAGCGGCAGCATCTTCCTGGCCCCTCACAGCAGCAGCATCACTCCAGCTAAGCTTCTGCCCTCGCGTCCTTCTCTGATTCTGACCTCTTCCTTCCCTCTCCCATGGCACCCCTCAGATGGCCCAGCATAATCTCCCCACCTGAAGATCCTTAACTTTCCCACACTGAGAAGTCCTTATGGCTGTGCAAGGTAACAGCTGCACAGGCCCCGGGGACTAGGCTGTGGATCTCCTTGGAGACCACGACTCTGCTTGTCACCACGGTCCGTCTTGCAGAACACCAAGACTTCCAAGGGGACTTTGTGATTGTTTGCTACTGCAATGACATAGTCACCTTGTTAGTCCAGACGTGCTGAAATAAAGGCTGACAGGAGGAGGAAGGTACCCTGCCCACTGCATGTCTGCATTAGAAAGAATTCACCCGGATTATCTGAGAATGAACTGTGAAGTTTGCCACAGGAGTTGGCCAGGTCCCCAGGTGTCAGCGACTCAAGTGCCAGAGCCAGCCACTGGCTGGGGACACAGCTAGCAGAAAGAGGGCCATGCAGGAGGCTCTGGTAGTCTCTGTGGGAAAGAGGGCTGTGAGGGAGTAGAGATAGATATGGCGCTGTCTGGGACGAAGATGCTCATTATTGAAAGCCTTCCCTGGGCCTCATCAGGGTCCCGGAAGTTTATATCTGTAATCTCATGGAAAAGCTAATGGAATCCCAGTGAATTAATTCCAAGCTACCACTACCAGTGTGAGCACATGGTGAGAATAAAGACACTAAGGCATATTTGTAGTTGTGGGGAGCCACGGGGTTCCTAAGTCCAGCTAGGGTGATGGCTAACTGGGACAAAGGCTTCAATCCAGGGCTGAACCCAGGTTTTATGAATTCATGAAGAGGGGATGGCTTGCCGGTGAGTGACTGTGAGAGCTGTGGGAAGTAGGTGAGTGCCATGAGCTGGGCTAGGTAGGAGGCCTGAAATCACCTCTTCCACATGCAGAAAGAGTAATCTACATAACATAATTTGAGGTAGTATCTAATGTTTTGGAGTAGGTGCCTCAGCTCTGATGTGTTACCTTTTACGCCCTGGAAAGTCATAGCCTCTTATCTCAAGGCTGTATCCCAGC